ATATATATATATATATATATATATATATATATATGATGATCATGTGATGTATATTTGAATATATTTTCCCGGAATTACGGAGCTCTTTTGGTTGTCACAGTTTCCTTGGTCGGTCACCATAGCAAGGTTTTGAAAGGATTTTTGGGATAAAAACTGAGAGAAATAGGCAACAAGAATAGTCAGCCTAAAATTTTTACTTGGAAACTATTTTTTCGTAAAATAAATTTTTGTTTCAAGTCAAACTGCCTTTTAAGGATAGATGGGACTTTCAGTAATTAAAGTGTTTTGGTGGTAATAAAAAATAAGATTTTTAGACTTAGAAAATAAAAGACTTCTTTATACGGAAACGAAAACGTTGAAAGCCCAAATATGAAAGTTCTTTTTTTCAATCGTTTGCACTGTTTCAGTAGTTAGGTATATATAAGCCAGGCAAAGACTGTTGTTGGCCAACTGTTAATCATGCCGCTTACGTGTTCGGACTGCCCAAAATTGTGCTGCTCAGTGATCATACCGGTTAGTTACTGATTGCCGTTTTTCACTTTCCTAAATAATTCGTAACTTGATAAAGAACCTTGTAAAAATGATGTTTTTCTCCTACAGGGTTTTCAAAAAATTATTGCTCAGAAGGAATTTATTCTAATTCTTGCCAGTACTCTAAGTTTTTATGGCTGACTTTATTTTAGCCTATAGGCGTATTTGCCGAAAAGGGTTGCAGTATCCATCTATTGGTGAATATCATCTTGACATTACTCGGCTACTTTCCGGGATTGATCCACGCCTGCATCATTATTGCTTACTACTGACCGATGTGTTTTCTCCGCGTTCTTCCTTAAAGGCAAAGCAAACTTTTGTTTTATTTATTTTCGTTCCGTATTTTTTTTTGTCATGATGCTTTTTGTATTACACTTTGTATTTTTGATTACTTAGCTCTTGCTATCAAGAGAATGAAACCTCGACTATTTACAACGCCGTCTCTAAAAAGCGGTTCATTGCATGATTTGATACGTTGTAAAAGATGAAAAGTAAAAAGCATTGTTTTCAAGACTTTTTTACAAAACATGGTGTTGACCAGAATATAACATCTGAAACTTTGAAAGGGACAATTGAAGAAAGCTTAGTGTATTTCGTTGAAAGTTTTTTTTGCAACTAACTTTGATTCACGTTTCAGGTGGACAGAAAACAGTTAAAATGAGCACCTTTTTGACTCAGTAAACAACTAGGTGCACGTTCAGTAGTAATTTGGTTACCAGTAACTGGCATCTTTACTGTTAGACTTGTCTGATTTTTGAAAGCTAAGGTGGAGGTAAGATCACAGTAATTGCTTTTGACAATGAGCTTCAAAGTGATATGAAAGAGGCTGCCTGTTACTAAAGATGAAGTTATTATAACTTGTAACACGATAAGCGATGGACACCTTTGAAAGGTCTTTGCATTTTGCAAATCTCGTCATCGAACTTCTCAGTTCTTTTACAATTTAACAGTTCAATCGCAGTACAAAAAGTTATAAGTAATTAAAAGTTTGCAATAACAGTTGTTGTCTGGCGTTGTGCAACTGGTTACGTGATGAAAAAGTTACCAATTTGAAAAAGTTTTTGAGGACATTGCCCTTTTGCTGTTCTGTCATCCATTCTTGCAATAGACTATGGTGCAGAAATTCGAAAAAAAAAACTTATTTTTGTTCTACCGTGTCCCACTTTCTGGAAAGGGTTTCGTTCACCTGCAAGTGTTCTCGCTTGAAAATTCCTTCAGAAACTTCAGGCAATACGTAAGGTAGGAAACGATGTGCAGAAGAAGAATAAATTTGCAGTTATGGGTGTATTCTTGGTAAGGTTCTTTAAATATTTCTGTAAGCAAGAAATGGAAGTACGAGTGTTGTAGAAAATGGGTCATGTCATTCTTCGCTTTTTGAAAGTGGATGAAAAAAATGATTTTGAAAAGTGAGTTTTCGCTTGCTCTGCAAGCAGAGGGAGAAAGAAAAGAAGAAGAAATAGCAAAGTTTAAAATTTTTCAAATTTTTCTGCATTTTCTCTGCAGAGAAAAAAGCAGTGTATTAATTGGGGGTCTTTCTAGTGCGTTTTGTACTACGTCCTCAATTAATCAGCTTAGTTTTTTACTGCTTCATTATGCGGCGTATGATACAGGATTCCGCTGTATGTTAGTTACCATATGTTTCACGGGCTTCTTTGAATACTCGCAAATGGAATGTTTGCGCCTATAAACGAGACTTCGAACTTGGCCACTTCAATCGGATATCGTAGAAACAAGCAAGGATGGAATGGACTAGCGTTGCCGGTATTCAAATAGAAAAAATGATAAAGGTAATGGGAAGTAAGAGAGAATACACTGGTAGTATGGAGCTGCAAAGAGAGCTGTTATATGCTTTAACCCGCAGTATGCACCTGAACAAAGCTATGCTGGATAAAAAGGTGAGTAATCACACAGACACTTGGACATTAACATTGCTGCTTGAAACTACAAAGGTCGAAGAAAAGATGCAGTATTTTATAGTTTTACAGATGGCCATATTATACGCGGCAAAGAAGACGTTTCTATTCCTGTCACTGGAGCAAAACGGAATAAATCCTATTTAAACAATGAACAGCAAACTGAAATAGAATATTCAAACGGCAAGTTGCAGTTATGCAACTTGTAAAATCACAGTTTAACAATTTCAGTAAGCAATGTCATTTTTTTATTCAAAAACTGCGATGTTACAAAATTGTTCAACACAGCAGTGAAAATGAAACTGGAATTTTCCAACTTGATTTTTAAATTGCTACTGGTTTTTTTTTCAATTAATGAAATTTTTGGCAACCGAAATGAAAATACCGCGTACAATACTTATAAAGAAGTATTTTTAAAATTTATTTTTACTGTATACAAATGGTTGTTGTCTGCCCATTTTTGAACCACTTATAAACACTTGTGTCAAAGTTGACTTTGTTGACGTAGTGCGAGTTTAGCTCACAAGGCAAAGTGTTATAGACGGGTAGATTTTAGCATTTTATATAATCACTTTCATGACAGCTACTGAACTTTGAAATACGAGATTTGAAAACAGAAAATCCCCTTTGTGTTCTTTAATTACAGGTCTTTTTTTATTTTTCTAAAGTCATGAGAACTATATATTCACCATTTAATTCCAAAACAAAATTTTAAACTAAAAGTTACTGTACGCCGATGTTAAGCACATAAAAGGCGAAATTTGAGATTCCAACACAAAAACAGACAGACCTCGCCTACAGAATGCTTGAGCACTTATTTTAGCCCACTAATTACTCATTGCTCAACAAACTCGAACTTAACCCACGATATGCACTTAAAAAGCTTCAGAAAAACAAATCAAAGAGCAAAAAAAGAGATCAGTCGAGAAAAAGCAAAAGCAAGATTACGACATCAAAGCATTCTTACAAAAAAGAACTAAATTTACTTGAAATGCTGCATTTCCCGTAAATCAAAAATTTTCTTGCAAACAGGCTTTTTCGGCTCATTAAATAAATCACATAGAGAACCAAACTTTTGTAGTTTGCAGTCTTCAGTACCAAATTACTATATTATTACTTTTTCGTCAAACAGCGGAAAAGTTACAGCTAACCGTACGAAACAGGTCACCCACATCAGCTACGGCTGCTAAAATTTTAGGCACTTTTCCACGCATACATGAATAAATATATATGTAATATATTATAAATATTATTATATGTACGTATATATAACATATACAACATATAATGCACATTATATATTGCATACTTTATACATTATAAATTAAAACTTGTATATCATACATAATATATAATATTATATGTAATACATAATACATAATATATAATGTATTACATATTATACACTATACAATATATTATATTATATTATATATTGTTATATAATATATAATATGTAATACATAATATGTAATATATAATATGTAATATATAATATTTAATATGTAATATATAATATATAATATATAATATATAATA